ATTAATTTCTTTCTATTTTTAGTAGAGACGGGGTCTCGCTCTTGCTCAGGCTGGTCTCCAACTCCTGAGCTCAAACAATCCGCCCGCCTTGGCCTCCCAGAGAGCTCGGATTACAGGCGTGAGCCACCGCGCCCGGCCCACATGTTACTATTAACACTTAAATTTTAGTCTGAGCTTATCTTCTCTAGGCTCAGTTCTCTTCTATCAGAAATACTTTCCTTTATAAGGACACACATTTATGGAAAAGAAAAAATAATTTTTAAAGAAAAAATTATAAATAAAATATTTAATAATAATATTAATTCACATTTGTTGTGGTTTAAACCACATTATTTTCCTGTTACTCTGAGCCTTTTGACCCCTTGGCATTACTACTTTATTTGTTTTTTGGTAGTCTAAAGTAGTTAAGTAACTTGCTTAACCACCATGTTGTACCCAAAGATGCAAACTGTCAAGTGATAACCCAAAGCATTTGCAATGAAGAAGGAAGGTGGAAAATCCAGAGGGGAACACAGACATGTCTCTTACCACAATGCTCTTTCCAACAGACTGATACCATCAGTATATATTTATATACAGCCAAACTATTTGATAATAATACACTGAGGTCATATGTTACTCAAAGGACAGATATTAGGTATTATCCAGTTTTGTAATCCTAAATTATGGTATGCTGATTATGATACTGAATTTCACAGAGCAGACAACAAAGGACCATCAGAATATTCTGAAGATAAGTAGTTTCTATCATCTAACACAGTGGCTTACTTTATCTACAAGACAGAGGCAATCAATACCAAAAGGCTACACATAAAAACCATGAAAGGAAAAGATGACTATTGGTAACAGAATAAGGTTAATGAGTAGTGAGTGTAAACAGACAAAAATACCACGAAAGTACTTCACAAAAATATTTTTCCTTACATACCTAAGAGACTGTCGGTACAAAAAAATACTAACACTATATTGTTTTCTGTATCACAGCACTAGATAAGCTAATAACCAAAAAATACTTTTAAAATCAGAAGCTTGAAATGGACAACAAAAATGACAACCTCCTTCCTCTGAAAAGCCAAACAAAACCCTTTTGTCCATATCCAAATCGCATGTTATTATTTGGGACTGCAAAGCTTCTTTGTTTCTTTTGTTTTTTCTCTTGGTTATGCATCTATGCTATTAATTATTCTAGAAATATAAAACATTCCATTTAAATAAAAGTACTACCGATAATATCTTCATAGTTTAAATACAGTCAGGTGAAATGTAAACCACTCACAAGCCTACTTTATTTTATGGAAAGTATGGACACATTCTACATTTTATCCACTCACACTAACAAACAGCTATCAACGTGTTGTGTTCAAGGGTAACCAGCCTCCTCAGACAATACATGAGATTATATATTGATATAAAAATGTTTTGTAGTAAAAATATTGTTCTTTTCAAATTTTATAGATTAAAAAGCCTGTGGCAAACAACGTAAGGAAGAAGAAGACATTTTCACATAAAAACTTTATGTTAAATCCAGTACAGTTTACTTCAAATTAGTGACTTTATTGGGTTACTAAGATTATGCACAGGATTTAAGTCTATAGCTCTTTTCTAGAGGTACTGTTATTTAATTCCTGTACTTGACTGAGAAATACTGTAAGAACCTTGAGGAGGGTACCTTTTAAATAGAGGTCAATTGCTAAAATTAAAGCAGCTATTGCCTCAGGACACATACAGATTTAAATATAATTTAAGAGTTTGGATCAATCATATCGTTGGTTTATACTATGTGGTTATACTACAGGGTTTATACTTTTTTTTTTTTTTTTGAGACAGAGTCTCACTCTTTTGCCCGGGCTAGAGTGAGTGGCGTGGCGTCAGCCTAGCTCACAGCAACCTCAAACTCCTGGGCTCAAGTGATCCTTCTGCCTCAGCCTCCCGAGTAGCTGGGACTACAGGCATGTGCCACCATGCCCGGCTAATTTTTTCTATATATTTTTAGTTGTCCAATTAATTTCTTTCTATTTTTAGTAGAGACGGGGTCTCGCTCTTGCTCAGGCTGGTTTCGAACTCCTGAGCTCAAACAATCCGCCCGCCTCAGGCCTCCCAGAGTGCTAGGATTACAGGCGTGAGCCACAGCGCCCGGCCCAGGGTTTATACTTCTTATTTCTCTTTCCTGGTTACTCCTGTGTATAATCTTAGCAACCCAATAAAATAACTTATTTGAAGTAAACTGTACTAGCAACCCAATAAAATAACTTATTGGAAGTAAACTGTACTAGCAACTCAATAAAATAACTTACTGGAAGTAAACAATCTCTTAACCATGTCATTCTATAGCTCCAGAAATAGGATAATAGGGAAGAAAACCCCAAATTTACTGGTAGTGGTTGAAATAAATAATTTTAGAATCCAGTTTGCTCTAACTAATGGAGGAAAAGAGTAGTCTGAATAAAGTCTGAATCATTTAAAAAGCAGTAATTATTACCAGGCACTGAGGACTCCAACCAAAGGTGGGTAGGTGGGTAGGACGTGGGTGAGGGATGAAAAATTACCTATTGGGTACAATGTATACAATTTGGGTGATAGGTACACTAAAAGCCCAGACCCCACCATTATATAATACATTCATATAACAAAACTGTACTTTAAGAAAAACTATTGACATAAATAAATAAATAAATAAATAAAAGCTAAAAACCAGTAATTATTACATTTTAGGCACAGAATCATTCTAAATATTTGCCAAATTGCAGACTTACTTTTACGTAAGTATTACATGTGTAAGTAAACATTCTTTGCATTTTGATATGGCTTGCTTTTTAATAGAATTAGAGATGTCTCATGAAATACTGCTTATTACAAATTTGCTTAGCTAAACTTTTCTTCAGATACAGGTAAATTTTAGCCTGGCCCTTGTTAAAACAGAAAAAAGAAAAAAAATTAGTAAGATTGTTTTGTATTTAGAACCCAATTATTACAATCCATCCTACTTAGGTTAAATAAAAATAAAAGACAAAATTGGTTAATAAATGCTGTCATTTGATAAATTTCTGATGAAAAGATAGTTATAAATAAATGCAATATGTCCTCCTTACCAATATGAGCTCTGTCAGATATAATAAGCCTTTTTTCCCAGCCTTCTAGTCCTAGAGAGAAGGGGGAAAAGATATATTTAATCAAATATTTTATGTAACAGCTTTTAAATCTTAATTTCTTTAGAAATATAATATCTGAAATTGTTTTTAATGAAGCAATCATTTTTGTATCTTTTCTTCTGCACAGGAAATATCACCTCTAACAAGACTTTTCTTACTTGTCATTCATTCTATACCCGTATCAGTCACACTCCAAGTGTCTTGCTCTAAAAAACTCCAAACTCAAACCAGTCACATCCACATAAAATACTTCCAGGAATCCAAAAAGCAAATGGTAGGAAAATGACATTTTTTGCTGTTGGGGTGGGGGTGGGGGCTTAGGTACCTAGCAGGGAGCAATTTGAGAGAAGGGAGTTAATTTTAGGTATGGTAAGGGAATGGTGCCCTTTCTCAAAAGATAAAACATGATTAAAGAAAATACTGATATTCACACTAATTCTTCCAAAGTACTGTCAATTACTGTACTTATTACACAGAATTGTAATGAGATATATCTATCTATTCCATTTAACTGTGAACTGACATGATTAAGACATAGTTTACAGTATTTTCTAACTGCAGAGCCTGTGAATTGTCATAGCATGGGGCCTATTTATCCAATCAATGTTCTAAAATATGATTGTTACATGAATAAACGAATGCAAATAGATGTTTTTCATTAAAGACAGTACTCTAAAGCAGGCTATATGGGTTCTAAGGATAAACCATCAAGATCCAAACATTTTCAAAATTAATCTTGGGATATTAAAAATTAGTTGTTACCTTTACTAATATGCAAAAATTTGTTTTGAAAATTTATTTTTTATGGATTAAGGACGAGAACCTCCTCGCTAATGTACTAAAGGTAATATACTAAAAGGTAAATCTGGAATATTAAGCACCCCCCTCTACAGTTGTTATGACATGTAAATATGTGTTCTGAGGTTAGTTTAGGGGATATTATAAAGAAAATCATACAAAAAAATTCAGTAAAGCAGATTCAGCAGGGTCAGATAGGTCAGAATGAAAAACGGAGTGGGGCAAAATCATTAATACTAAAAGGGATGAAGCAGAGCAGAGAGCAGCAGGGGAATCTCAAGATGACCAATCTAAAAAGCAGAGACTAGAACGTAAGTACAAATACAGGGAGTACAACAGAGATAGTAGCAAAGATAGGGTTCTCTAAAGTCAGATTTAGTTGTTAGGAACACTTGAGGATTGCTACTTTTAAACCTGAACAATAAACTTTAACAATAGTAATATAATTCAATATTTTAAATTTGAGCTAATCTAAGGGGAAACTATACTAATGATTTTCCTCAACTGTGTATTTCAGGTTGAGTATCCCTTATCTGAAATGCTTGGAACCAGAAGTATTTCAGATTTCAGATGCTGGAATATCATCGTATAAATGAGATCTCTTGGGGATGAGACCAAAGTCTAAACACGAAATTCATTTATGTTTTATATACACCTTACACATGTAGCCTGAAATTTTATACAGTATTTTAAATAATTTTGTGCATGAAACAAAGTTTGTGTACATCAAACCATCAGAAAGCAAAGATGTCCCTATCTCAGCCACTTGTTAAGACAACAATCTGAGGTTGTTTGGCATCACCGTCATCCCTGACTTTGAATATATATGCTACCAGTAAGCAATCAATTTCTTACACTTATTCACACACAAGTACTTAACAGTAAATAAATATGACAAACCATTAATACAGTGAAAAATAGTATGTTCAAGGTAGCTAAGCAGCACAGTAGCATCACCACAATACCTGTAGACAGCTGGTGAACAACAGCAACAAAAACAATGGCAGGCTTTCAGTCTCTACCTATAGTGCCATGTTGTGATTAAAAGCTTACTGTATCCTATATTTATTAATGTTGTTGGCGCATCCAGCCTGCATATGTGCCATTTTATTACCCTTTGTGAGTGTGCTTGCATGGGGGAATCTGGGCATGTGTGGAAAAGATATATTGCAGCTATAAGGGGCTGAGGTATTTTTTCCCTTGAGGATGCTAAATAAACTTGTGTGTTATATGCCTGCATTTTGACTCTAATCCATTGTATGAGGTGAGGTGTGGAATCTTTCACTTGTGTTGTCATGTCAGTGTTCAAAAAGTTCCTGCTTTTAGAGCACTTCAGATTTCAGATTTTTGGATTGAGATGTTCAACCTGCATTTATAATGTCAAATTCCCCTCATAACCTAATGAGGTAGCCAAATTGGATGTAAACAGAACTCTAAAAATCCAAGAGATCAGTAAAGGCAAGAATCCAAGGTTATTTCTTTTAAGGAGATGGGAATGTACACACCGCATAAAAGCAGTATTTCTCTCATTTACAAGGAGGGACTTAAACAACCCCTTTTTACCCCTGGCTTGTAGCAACCACAGGAAAGCTCTAGATCCTCTAGGAAACAAGACTGACAGTGTGCAACTCAGGAATTTCCTAGAGTTTTGTCACCAATATATAGTAATTCTAGCTACCTTAAGATAAAGTTTGCAGATGACCTATGTGTAAAAAAATCAGGACTTACAAATGACATTATTACCTCTTGTTTAAAATGATTATAATGAATAAAATTTAATAACTGACATGAAAATTTTATCCTATAGTAACCTAAAATTTTAAAGTATAAGACAAAAATGTTAAGTTTGTCTGGCACAAGATCCTAATAAAACTTTACAAAAAATAACTGGTTACTAGGCAGACTCATTCTTCCATACCTTTTCCTTTTTGAACATTTTTCTCTGCTTCTTCAAACAATCCAGGTAGATGAATTACCACACCATTTCCTAAAGGAAAACAGACAAATTCCAACCTTAAACATCTATAATTATAGTGTAGACGTATATAATTTATATAACATTCTGATTTATCAGGGAGTTACCACAGAAATGATTCCAAGTTTTAAATAGTAGTATAATGTAAATATATAATAGAATATAATACAGAGAACATAAAACACTAAAATTACATTCATCATAATTTGAAATTTCTTTTGAAACAGTGAAATATGTTACTTTGAAAGAAATACTATGAAAGTTATGTAGTTTTAGGCAAATGGAATCTGTTCACAGTAGACTCTAGATCAATCCCCCCCTTCCCCCGACCCCCAGGGATGGAGTCTCCCTATGTTGCTCAGGCTGGAGTGCAGTGGCTATTCACAGGCACAATCGTAGCACACGGCAGTCTTAAATTCCTGGTCTCAAGCCATCTCCCACCTCAGCCTTACAAGTAGCTGGGACTACAAGTGTGTGCCACTATATCTGGCTTCTAGATCAGTGTCTTTCAAACTGGGGAATCGCACCCTATTAGTAGTCATAAAATCAATTTAGCGGGTTGTGATTAATATTTTAAAATATTAAAAAGTAGAATAGAAAATAACAGATTGCATCACACGTTGTAAGGGTTCAGAACCAATCCATGAACCTCTTATATTTCTTACTGTGAGTCACAGTTAAAAGCATCTGGGAAACTGATCTGATGATATAATACTCCTTTATAGAATTAAGATTGTCAATGATCACAGAAAAATGCAAAGTAAATCTTTCCAAAAAGTATTACTGCTAAAAGATCTAAGAGTTACAAATAGCCAAAGTTAGGTATATTCTAGAAGGTATCAAGGTCAAAATTAGTAAGAGATCAATGAACCATTCGGTGACAGAAGAAATTGGTTTTGATAAAAAAAATGAATACCATGATCAATCAGGAGGGAAAAATGAACAACCAGTTCAGTTTATATACTTACCAATGAATGCAGTAACATTTGGATTAATTATTCCACTGGGTAAAAGATGAAAATCATATTCCACGGAATCTACAACAACAGTATGACCAGCATTATTTCCTCCCTGAAATATAAGATAGGGGAAAATTGAGCCTGACAATAAATATGACAAATAACATATCTACTTACAAAGTAAATTAATCATTTCCTGCTAAAATGTCAATAACTTAAGGAAGCCCAAATGTTTGCCATATATACTGATGTGTTAAAGCCTTCATAATAGTTTTGCTCTCTCCTTTCTGTACTATAGTACACTTGAGTGATTATCCTCTAGTATCTGGAAACTGGAGAATTCAGGTTTCTGAAAGACAGAAAGTCATGTTCCTTTTTAAAAGACAAAGAAAAGTAAAAAATATACAGATAGCCATTAGTTTGTTAGTCTGTCTTTGGCACTACGTAGGATGTGCAGCAATCTAATTATTAATAATTATCCATATTTTATCTACACAAACATGTCTCTAAGACAGAAAAGAGTAATCTATCCAGTTACCCTAACTTAATGTAAATATTCATATAATTCCTATTGTCCTTAGAGTGTATCAAACAACTTTGTGATCTGAAACTTGTATTCTTACATGGACTCAATAATTAGAATCTCCCCTAAGTCGCTCCCCCAAATATTGGTTATCCTAGGACTCTAATTTATAAATCAGCTTTGTGAGTCTGGTTAGTGACAGATCCTTAGAACCTGCTCATCTCTGGACCCCTTGCTGGGTCAAGGAACCTCTAACGCTGAGAATCATACCATAAACTCATGGTAAAACTTTCACTCTATGAAGTTTGTGCCTATGTAGCAAATAAATAGTAAAATGTACAAAAAATGAAATCATAAAAATTAGGTACAAAGGAGCCTGAATATTAAGTGACCAAATAATTTTTCTAAGTTTTACTTTTTTTCTTTTTCTTTTTGGTAGAGACAAGGGTTTCACTATACTGCCCAGGCTGGTTTCAATCTCCTGGCCTCAAGTGATGCTCCCACCTCAGCCTCCAAAAATGCTAGGATTACAGTCAGAAGCCACGGTACCCAGCCCTAATTTCTAAGTTTAAAAAACCATGGAAGAAAACACAAGTCAATTGATTACATGTATGTTTAAATTTCTACACAATATTAACTAACTCTTAAAAGTAAACAACTAGGAATATATTTGCAACAAATAAAAACTTTAACAACATCCTTATGTGACATTAAAAAATGCCAATCAAAACCGTATCTCCTGAGAATGACTAGTTTAACTTGATCCAAGGTTGTTTTTTGACAAACTGAATGTTATTCACTTTTCATTGTACCAATTCATCACCAATCAATCATGAGTTCATAAAAATGCTAGAAAAATAGGTCCTGCTAAAAAAATCTTCAAAAAGCAAACAATTTACAATGTTTTGCACTGTATAAAGCAAAGAACTCTTTGCCTGAAGACTAATGTATATCATGTACTTAAAAAAAAAAGTGGTGAGCTATAATCTACAAGATGACAGGTGGTGGCAAGATATAGGAAGACAGAAGCAGGAGCGTTAAGCAATACTTTCTTCATGTTATAACAAGGGAACAGGTGAACATATTTTACTATTGATTTTTTAATAGGAAACGTCTACCTATGATACAGACTCCAAAAGGCACAGACGTATGCACGGTAAAATGTGAAGTCTTTCTCATACCCTCGCCACAAGGCAACCAGTCATAAGTTTTTGGCATCCTTCCTGAGGTAATTTATGCATACAAAATCAAATGTTTATATATTGTTTTATTCCACATATATAATGGTAGCAAACTATATACATCTGGGCAGCCTGCCTGTTTTTTTTTTTTTTTTTTTTTTTGAGACAGAGTGCTGTGGCATCAGCCTAGCTCACAGCAACCTCAAACTCCTGGCTCAAGCAATTCTTCTGCCTCAGCCTCCCGAGTAGCTGGGACTACAGGCATGCGCCACTATGCCCGGCTAATTTTTTCTATTTTTATTTAGTAGAGATGGGGTCTCACTCTTGCTCAGGCTGGTCTCGAACTCCTGACCTCAAGGGATCCTCCCACCTCGGCCTCTCAGAGTTCTAGGATTACAGGCGTGAGCCACCACGCCCAGACCTTGCTTTTTTTACTTAACAAATTTTAAAGCTCATTTCAAAACCTTGCAAACAAAATCACCTCATTCTTTTAAGTGCTATATTGTTTTCTTTTGTATATAAACATATAATAATTTGTTAAACTGGTCCTGTAATGAAAGGCATTCAAGTTGTTTCCAGTCTTTTGCCATTATAAACAATGTTGCAATAAACTGGTATATAGTTTTATTATTTTACAGTTATGCAAGTTTATCACCAAATCTGACAGAATCCTAAGACATATATTACATATCAAAAGAACACAGTGATCTTAACTTAGTCTTTTTAAAATAACTCATAGGACAATTCTTAGCTGTATTTTGGTTTCTCTTTATCCGTCACGCCAATATGAGCCTTTTTATCACAATATTTTTGATTTAGGAAATACCTTCCAAACTTTCAGGAAAAATCTTTTAAGAATATGAAGCTCATTAAAATTTCCTTGTTCCCCAGGAAAATACTAATTTGTTATTATCATAATCATTTAATTCTAAATTGTTATAAATTACTAAGTTTAATAAATTTTTATGAATTGTTATAAAGTATTGGTAACTTTGAGTCAAACAACAAATAACATTATGATCTAAGCAAAAGCAAGGTTGTTTTTTTTTTTTGTTTTTTTTTTTTAGGAGTCGGGGTCTCACTATGTTGCCTAGGCTGGCTTTGAACCTTTGGGCTCAAGCAGTCCTCCTGCCTCTGCCTCTCAAGTAGCTGGGACTAAGGTGCATGACACCATTCCTGGATAAAACCAGTTTTTTAAAATCCATCATTTATTTAATGTAAAAAACAAACTATCTACTCTGTAATTGTTGGAGTAGACCATTAAAGTAAGCCAAAATTATTTCTATAGATATACTAATATAATCATTTGGTGAAACAATTATTAACTTGGTAGTGCATGACAATGTTCTTGGTGTGTAACAAAAGCCTACTCTCTTAGCTAATATTTTACTAAGGCAGTAATGATGGAAGTAACCATAATAAAGAAATGATGGCTGCCATATATATATATATATATAATATATATATATATATATATATGTAAATAAATTGTTTTAGGCAGATGGTTATGATAGATGACTAATTTTAGGGGGACAACTTGGCTTAATTCCTTAAGTTCACCCAAGTTTATGCATAGTTCAGGCTGGAAAAGTTCAGCTGTAAGAGTCTCGAAATCATTTTACTACAAAGCTTGTTCACTCAAATATTAACCAACATTTTTCAATAACCAATGTCGCATTAAGGATTATTATATAGTCTAAATATCATTTAAATTATTTCATTGAGTATGGATATATGGTTTAATATACCCAGAAAAACCCTAGATTATCCTACGAAGGATTTAAGGAGAAAATAAGTGCTTATTTATATTTGGTCAGTAGTGCCCCGTGGGAGAACTGGGGCATGATAACTTTTAATCTTGAAACACACTGTGCAGAAGGGTCCTCAGGTGAACTGAGAAGGTGCTACTCATAAGGGGTTTCTTATGAGGTTATCTATTTATGAATTAAGTTTTAGTATTTTACAAAATGGATTTTACAAAATGCAACAGATGAAGTCAAATTTGAAGTGTCTATTTCGATGCTAACCTAAATATTATGTGAAATATGCAAAATTCACCTTGGGAGCTCCAGCAATTGTCCTCAAACACAGATTATACTGGTTCAAGGAGAGGTCACCTATATTAGCAGACAGCAAAACAGGAGTTTCAAATATGAGCACCATTATTGACCACCATTTCGCTCTCCCATCTATAAATTATAAGGGCAGATGGAAGTGCTTCCCACAAAGGCAACTCTATGTAGCACGTGCCAGCATGAGCAACAGCAAGGATGTGTTTGTTTAATTGCGTTTAATGAATCCCCTAAGTAGCTCTGGGTAGGCCAGATAGCACTAAATAAATGATGAGAGATATTTTGTTGTTGTTCCACTTTTAATAGAGACATACTACTGCCTTCTCAATCCAAATTTTCCTCAAATCAAACTTGATGTTATCCCCCAAAAACAGCACTAATCATATATTCACATTAATAGTTACACGTAATTACCTCTTGCTGCTTTGCCAAATTCCCATAACACAATCCTAGTCACTCATTTAGTATTTAACAAATACTCTTAATTATCACAGCCATATGTTCTATATTACCTGACTAGAAAAATAGAATATGTTCAATTAATAGTTATACAAAGCGCTGTGAATCCCAATGTTGTTTTCTGGATCAATTATATCAATAGGGAAAATATTTCTCAATGATTCTTGATGACTTAATTTTTCTAACAATTAATTTTGAAATATACCTCCCTAAACCCAAAGAAACAAAAAAACAATGAGTCCAAAAGTGGCTGCATATTATGTGGCAGGTTTCTTTGAGGAAAAACGTAACGCTTTATATGATGTTCTTATATTAAATACCAAGAATAAATGCAAGTTAATTGTACTAAAGTAAAGAATATATGAAAGAAAATCCAATTAGTTCTCATCACAGTCACAAAACATTCCCTAATATGGTATATATTAATATTCCGCCAATTTTATTTGACTATTATTCTTACATTAGGATTAAATACAAAAAAATATTAAATACGCCTTTTGATTACAAAAAAGAAAAGTGTATCCCACTGCAGAGCTATGAAATAAACTGGGACATCGTGACAGAAGAAAAGCAGAACTAAATGTCTATGTTCTCAAAGCTGAAAGGCAAAGTCTCAGATGTACCTTTTTAGTTTTTTACAATCAATATACAGCAAATCTTCATTGTTTTAATTAAGGTTAAAATAGTAAGAACTAATTTAACTCCAAACATTCTTTCCCTCTAGAAAAGCACTAGAGGTCTACAATATATCAGACGGTTGGAAAACAATTTACAAATAAGAACAATCCAGAACGAATGTTTCCTCATACTTTATTTTCCTATATGAAATTAACTCCATGCTAGTTATAGCTTTGCATGTTAAGTCCCTCTTCTTTTC